TGCTCAAGATATACCACGTAGGTCAGACCGGATACGTAATCCTCCGGTCAGATATGGATTTCTCATGTCTGATGAAGGTGACGTCTTGTTGGTAGATCAAGGCGAACCAGAGACCTACCTCGAGGCAATTACATGCCCCGAATCCGATCTATGGCTCGAAGCCATGAAATCTGAAATGGAGTCTATGTACACAAACCAAGTCTGGACCTTGGTTGATGTGCCCGAAGGGGTAAAACCCATTGGATGCAAGTGGGTCTTCAAAAAGAAGACAGACGTAGACGGGAAGGTTCATACCTTCAAAGCTAGATTGGTAGCAAAAGGTTATAGACAAATCCACGGAATTGACTATGATGAAACCTTTTCTCCAGTTGTTATGCTGAAATCCATTCAGATAATGCTTGCGATTGCAGCCTATTACGATTACGAAATTTGGCAGATGGACGTCAAGACGGCTTTTCTTAACGGGAACCTCAAAGAAGATGTCTTCATGACACAGCCTGACGGTTTTCAAATTGCTGGTCAGTCTGCCAAAGTTTGTAAACTGCAACGTTCAATCTACGGATTGAAACAAGCATCTCGGAGTTGGTACATACATTTCGATGAAACCATTTCCAGTTTTGGTTTCGAGAAGAACTCTAACGAATCTTGTGTATACAAGAAGGTCAGTGGGAGTGTAATAGTATTCCTAATCTTATATGTCGATGACATATTGTTAATGGGTAATGATATTCCCGCTCTCACTTCTGTAAAGACGTGGTTGAGCGAGAACTTCTCCATGAAAGACTTAGGGGATGCTAATTATGTCATTGGCATAAGAATTTACCGAGATAGATCAAGAAAGTTAATAGGTCTGAATCAAAGTACATATATAGATAAAATCCTTGATCGATTTAGCATGTCTAACTCAAAGAAAGGATCTTTACCTATGACACCTGGCACGGTTCTTTCCAAGAGCCAGAGTCCTTCTACTCCCGAGCAAAAGGAACTCATGATGAAGGTTCCATACGCCTCTGTGATTGGATCCATCATGTACGCCATGATATGTACTAGACCTGATGTCTCATTCGCTTTAAGCGTGACCAGCAGATACCAGGGATGTCCAGGAGAAGCACACTGGACAGCGGTCAAGAACATCCTCAAGTATCTTCGCAAAACTAAGGATGCATTCCTGGTATACGGCGGTGAGGAAGAGCTAAAGGTGGTCGGTTACACTGACGCTAGCTTCCAAACCGACAGAGACGATTCAAAATCACAAGCAGGATATTTGTTTTGCCTGAATGGCGGAGCTTTTAGTTGGAAAAGCTTCAAGGAGGATACAACCGCCGATTCGACTACAGAGGCTGAGTACATAGCTGCTGCCGAGGCAGCAAAAGAAGCTGTTTGGATCAAAAAGTTCATTACTGAACTTGGAGTGGTTCCTAGTATTAATGACCCTATCTCGTTGTTTTGCGAAAACACTGGGGCCATTGCACAGGCAAAGGAACCGCAATCTCACCAGAAAACCAAACACATTGTACGATGCTATCACATCATACGAGAAATCGTAGATAGAGGAGATGTGATGATTTGCAAAGTAGATACTGACGACAACATAGCCGATCCCTTAACCAAGCCTTTAGGAAAGCTAAAGCATGAGGGTCACACTAGGTCCATGGGCATTCGACCGATGCCAGATTGGCCATAGTGCAAGTGGGAGATTGTTGGAGTTGTGCCCTGATGGCCAACTGTTCATCGTTATCCTATCATGTATAGGCAGATATAATATGTTTACATATCTCATGCTAATGTAAACGAATATTATATTCCTAGATTTCTATTTAAAGATGTTTATCAGATAGTGTTATTCTGCTGATGAGACTAACATATTGAAATAAATATTTATTTGAATGTCCATAGTCGAGTATTAACGAGAGTGGAATATCGTTAATGCATGTGAGACTAGTGTGTGTTGGATGTTTGACTTAGTCTCATAGTCAATGACAATGTGTTCGCATCTGCACATGGGCAGATATTATCTGGAGATAATAGGATGCCGGACTGACCCATCCTAAAGATGTTGCTTGAACTTTTAGTTCATGCTCTAAGCATCTTTAGCGCGACCACGGGTGTAACTATCCTTCGACTTGAAGTATTATGTTTTCTGCATATGTGAACCCGCATACTTTGATGCATTGTCCTAAGCCATATGAAATAAGGATGGTATACAGGCTTTGTTTTGGGTATGCCGCAGCGCGTATTCAGAA